TAACAAATCACGCTGATGAACATCTTATAACATAACATGAAGCCCAACAATGAATTTCATTCCCACAAAGCAAGGACAACGAATATATACTATACTGTTAAATAACTCAGACAGTTTTTAGAACAAGAAATAGATAACAAACTAAGCGAAACTTCCCAAATCCTGGGAACTAATTTACAGGAACTTCATACACACTACAAGGCTTACTGCAATCCTTTCTGGTGACTGGTGTGTAGAAACCCCCACAGTGAAACATCTCATTCTTTTCAATACTGCATGTAGAAGTTTTAAAAACTTACGGAAAGAAGAAATTTTCAAGAATTTGCTTTGAGACCAACCAGTTGTGGCTACCAGAAAAAAAAGATTTTCAGCTCGTCTGTTAGTATCATTTTATCTATTACGTAGAAAGTTACCCAATATAGAGCAGTAGATCTTGAAAAAGACGGAAAACCCTTTATGGAATAAAAATGCTATCACAATTGTTGGTAGGTTTTGAAAAATATACAAGGACAAGAAAAAACTAATACATCAGAGCTGCATTTCAGAAATGATCAGATTCTATAAACACGGGAAGCAATAACCATGCAGTGAATTAGACATTGAGCTGGTTCACATATAATATTAATATATATATATATATATAATATACAATATAAAAAACATATACAAATTATAAGTAACGAGTTATAAGATAATTAAAAATGTAGTTAGCAATGCTACGTTCTCATATAATATGGGGCACTAGGATATGATGCACTAGGATACGGTGTAGGTAAAAACACAAAACTATTAAAAAACAAAGAAAAAATGAAGCTCAACATTTTTTTAAACGAAAAATCAACAGAATGATATGATGCGCTACCAACTATATATGTATGTATGTATATTCATTTGTGGTTTCCGTGTCATTTCAGCGAAGAAGAAAAAACAGATCATTGTTGACTGAAGTACATGTAATACAAGCTTAGTAGGTATTTCCATTTTGAGGTACTGAGGTTTGTATGCCTGAAGAATTTTTATATTCCTGTATCTCTTTAACACACCTTTTTATAATCTCATACATAACTTGAAATAATCTTCTATAATATTATTTTGCTTTCGGACATTGGGATAACTTCTCTGATATTTTTTTTCACTAAGAAAACAATATATATATATGAATGAAGGTATTTGTATATGTGAAAATATATGTTACATATTTGTAACAGAATGAGGTTGACGTCGTGATTGTATATACTACATATATATCTATATTCTTGATCTGAATGATGTGACGAATCGATTTACCGATATTAGTCTGTTTTTTTATGTGTATACTTACCAGTCTATTAATAAGTAAATCATATTCCGAGTATTTGCGATTATAAAAGGAATGTGAAAGTAAACGACATAGAAGCTTGAATATGAATTGGGTAGCTCTGCCATATAGCACTATAAAGTAACTTTCTAGAATTAGTTTACATTAATTCATTCTAATGTAAACATCAAAAAGTAAATACAAATTTTTTAAAAGGAATTATTAAATCATTGAATGTTTACCTATACATTTCATGTTGTTTTGATTAGTTAATCTGGGGTAGATAAATTACTCTGGACTTGCTCTAAACAGTATAATCGTTTTTTATTGATCGATCTGAAGTAAATAGTTTACTCTAGACTTACTTTGGATAATGTAAACGTTTTTATTTATACATACACATCTCTATTAATTTCCAATATATCTAAATTATATTACAAACCTGTAGGATTACTCTAAAAATATTTATTCCAACATTTTGGAAACAAAAAAACTGCAAATTTATTCTTAACACTTATTGTCGAGCATTCAGACGTGCGCAGTAACTCGGTAAGTAAAAATGGTTCAAGTAAGTTTATTTCTGTGTAATTGTAATGTTATCGAGCAACGTTTTGAATACCCCTAATAGTTATAAGTTTATATTTATATTTTAACTTTAATATTATGAAATTTATATCAATGCTTATATATTTGCTGTTTTGCAAAATATTTGAAAGAGTAATTAGAACATTATTACAAAATATAATTACAGAAAAAAAGTCTGTCCGTCCGAAATATCTGAAATATGACTACAAAGAAAACCATTTTTCAATTCATCGTACAGTAATCAGGGTATTGATCTCTTAAGGATTAAATGGACAAGTTTCAACAGAAAATGCCCATATTATATGAAGTAATCCTACTAGCATTTATCTTGTATACATATTTAAAATATTTGAGAATAGTTGAAGTATCATATTATATATAAAGATATCAGATTAAATGTTTAACATATTATTAATAAATTACGGTAATATTTGTCATTAAACCAGAACAAATTATGGTAGCATATTCGGGACAAATAACTTTCAAAATAACTTAACACATTCTATATAGAGGCATTTATTAGCAAGTATACGTGATTGTATACTTGCGGTATGCAGATTTTAGATCATCGAATAATCAGCGAAGCTTGTGAGGAATATATAAACTAGTCAAAAAGATTGGAGGGACTCTGTAGAAACCCCTAGCTAAGAAAGAGTAAAAGTGCCCAGTTGCACTAACTTGAAAAAACCTCAACTTAAGACATGATTGTTAATTTTTTGATTTGAATTGTCAGAATAGTGATATTGTCATCGGTACCCCAACCGATGATAAAAGTTAACCGCAAGTGTAAAAACTGGTAATAGAGAAGTAAACTGTTCTGCGGGTACTTTTAAGTAAATTATTTCAATAAGCAAGTTCGCTTACGAATTACCTTAAAGTCTCAGAACTTATTTATAGAAGTATTTATAGAAGTATTTTTATAATACGTCTCCATAAATAATTATATAAATTTGTCAATAACAACTTTAGAAAGGATTTAATATATCATAATTTAGATAATTTGGCTCACCATTTTAATATTTATATTTTGATCGCAGTCAATTCGTGTCCAAAATTTTGTATTATTCCATTTTAACTTTGTGGTGAATTTTTGTATACTGCTTTATCGACCATGTGAAATTTCTATCTCTACAAGAAACCTTTTACTAGTGAACATATTTATAAAACAAATACTAAATGTTGTTTAAATACAATTATAATAGATATTCATAAGTCTTTTAAAAACAATACTGGTAAATACAAAATTAGTACGAATATTGACATAGCTAACACTTAAAGAAAATACAGAAAAATTTCTATTGCTAGGATTTTTATTGAAAAACAAATATTAGCAGTACGAATAACAAATAACCACAATACTTATTAATAATTAACATATCTCCAATTCAATATGTTGTAATCTATCACTTTTATATATTATAATATCAAAGTTATTTAATATAAAAGTTTAAACAATATAATTTGTACACAAAATTTGAAACGCACAAAGACTTCTGCCGCGCACGATTTTATTGGTGAGAAAAAATAAACTCCACTGATTTTCTAGTCAATTTTAACTTACCACATTTAAGCAGCGAATAATTGCAGAATTGGACGTTGGGCATAAAATTCACTGTTGCCACACTTGACAGCACGAATTCGTAAAGAAAGTAGCAAACTTTCACTAAATTGCTAAATAATTTAAAAAACATAATTCAATTAGCGAACAAAAAATAAAAAAAAAAAACAATAACAAATATTATAAAAATTACGAAATTACAAATAATTTTATGTACATAAATTTTATAAAATAACAAAAAGATGAGCTATATATATAATAAAACTAAACTCAATATCAGAAAACATATTACAATTTTTTTCAATTCATTTAACATTTCCAAACATTTGTTTAATAGCTTTTCTTTAAAATATGCTATTCATTGTTATTTGTCGTTATATGCAATACTTATATGAGTCTTAAAATCTATTTTAACCTGACTTAAAAATGAATTTTAAGAGTATTACGCACCATATTTAAGAATGCGTTTAAGGTTGATATCAGCTGGCGTCTGGTATCAAAATTAACGTCTGGTTTAAAAAAGCTTAAAAAAATGCTTAGTGACTCTGTCTCAATAATACAAGTTTAAGAACTCTGATAAGAAGTTCTTAAGAAATCTGATATCGCTAGAGATTGATAGGTTAATTAAGCACGGTTATCAGTTCAAAAGTATTCCCATTCAATGATTGATTTTAGTAAAACCGATTGTTTTGACCAACTCCCTCTAATACGCTATATGTTGATTTAAATAAAAATCTGATGCATTCAGTTTGCGTGTATGATCGTTTATGACGTAATCAATTTAAAAATTTTAAATAATACTTTCAAAAATTGTATTTATTAATATTTTTGTTTAAATAATTAATGTAAAAACTCAATACTTTAAAAGGCACAATACTTTTTAATGGAAAAAGTTGTTCGGAATAACTAAATTCACTAAAATTCCTTGTAGAAATACGTCAAGGTGCATCCATACCAAAGCGAACTCTTGCGAACTAACGAACTTCACTTGAAAAATCGTAAAAGTGTTGGAAATGATTCTAATTCTTATTTAATATTTTAAATAGTGTTTATGTCTACTTGAATATTCAAAAATGTAAATACGTCGTATAAAATTCATACAAATACTCATAATTTTTATATATACACTATGTATAATTTTTTGGCAAAATATCAGTTTTCTATGGGCAACAATTGTGGGTTTTTCCTATATTTCAAATTGAAGTAGCGAATTTTTATATGGATTACCTAAAAACGTAATATAGTTTTATAATTAATACACACAATTTACAGATTGATTGTATTCACAACAAGTAATCATCTGACGCGACTCGTTGTTGTTGGTATTTTTCATTTAAATAACTTACAACTTTTAAACCCGATATTTTGAGAATCAAGCTGTATCGACATTTAGCATATTGAAAAAAGCTACATTGTCATGTCACAACATCTTGGAAATTGTAATCGTAATAAACCTTTTTAATAGTTTAACGTGTCGCAAAAAAGTGGCATCACCATGTTACCAGAACTGTGTTGAATTAAATGTCATTGTAATTACAAATAAAAAGCAAAATTTAGTAATATTTTCATTAGGTTTTATTTTTGTTGAGTTGTGTGTTAGAAGTACCGGTAGTCTTATGCCTGCAAGTGGGCTTGAAGTAGTGCTTTAAAAGTTGCTTCGAAATTATTACAAAACGGGATGAATATAAACAATTCTTACGAATTTGGTATTTGAAAATTATAGGTGCCTTTTGCGCACAAGTAAGCATCATTAAATTGACCCTTAATTAACTTTTACATAATTAATTGCGAACACGAAGCAACAACAAATAAAGAGCAATAACAAAATGTCCTCACCTAATGTCCGCAATCGTAACAAAGTAAGTAGACATATAAGATATCGTTGATATAGTGAGAAATTTAAACGAAATGCTTTTCCCACTCTTTTGTTTTTGTTTGTTAATCATCTTTAACTAATGCGAATTAAAACGAATTATTGTTTAGAAACGATATTGTGATAAAAATAAGAAATTTCTTTAATAAATTACATTTCATTTACTAACATTATATCAATAATATCATAAGCAAAATTAAAATGCAACAAGTTTCCTATAACAACTTGTTTTTAAAATATTTAAAACGTAAATACAGAACTATTATTTTAAATGAATATAAATAATTCTATGCTTCTAATTTATAGCAGATTTAGTTCTAAATTTTATGTGTCTATGCAATTTTCAGCATTTATTTCACCTTTTGTATATTATGTGCATACGAAATTAAAAACAAATAAACGTAACTGTTATTTTAAGACATCAGCTTGAGTTTAAGCTTGAGCACGTTTTTTGTTTAAGTATAAGCACTTGCTAATGTGCTAAGTCATCTTGGGCCATTTTACATATTTACTTTTAGCAGTTAGATAAAGCTAGAAATGCTTTATCTTCTTTTTCGGTTGCCAGGTAACACTGCCGGCCATCGCGATATAATACAATAGTCATTATTACTATTAATTTGCTATGTTCCAGTATTATTTAAAAAACACGGAAATGATGAAATATCAATTAATTCTAAGTGCAAGGGCTTTCAATTTTTTAAAATTCATACTCACTGTACTATCACTGGTGAATTATTTGATAAGATAAATTCACAACGTGTATTGGCGTTATAAGTTCGGTTGTAGCAGAACTTATACTTCTATTCTATATAATATAATTGAAATAGAGAATGTTATGATGTTAACATTTAAAGTAGTATAAACAACTTTATAGTGTTATACGAATAGTGTTCAACCAATATTAAATTAGCTAATAGGTATCATGTAATATAATACACTGAGGTACATAAACCATATGATGTCATAATATGCAACATTGAGGTAAATAGACCGTATGATATAACGAGGCAGAATAGCTTAAATTTTAAAACATCAACTAAAACATCATCTCTTTGAGATTTATTGTATTAAAACTAACGTAATATGTGCGCGTTAAGATTTAGAAAAGTGGCAGTATGATATTTGATATTACTTATTAGAAAAAAAATGTAAGAGAATTATAATAACATAAGAGATACATAAATAATGTGTATTCCAAATAACGTAAATTTATAACATCTAGAATAAAGAAGCTGTCGAAGTATATTAGGCTTAACGTAACTTTATATATAACGTAAATTCGCAAATATTATGGGAAGCAAACGAATAGAGATATGCGCAGATTTATGAAATACAGTACGGTACAACATCAATATCGTATAGTACGTGCACGCAGTGTTCTTAAGTTTTTTCAAAATATGTATTCTCCTATATCACAATAGGTCTCAGTTCTTTTGCTAATTCCCATTAATAATCGAATCGATTCAAAAACCATCAAATCATAATACGAAATATACAAATACAATAGTATAAAACTAAAACCATACTTAGCCAGTTTTGCAAGTTATAGATTATTAACAAGTAATGAGCTTACTTTTGTTTAGTTCTCTGCTTTTTTGTTTATAGCGAGCGAACTAGTTTCTATATGCGTACCCATTTTTACAATTACATGACTGTTGGCACGTATTTTCTCAGTCAGATATTTTACAAAACGTTTTTATTTTGAACATTTAAAACAATATTTATAATTAGAATGATTTAATTACATATATATATCAAAGTTGAACACTCAATTGGAATTTGAATTTTCTAAAGAAACTTGAACAGGTCATGAATTTAATTTTAAACACTTCCTAAAATGAATTAAACTAGTATTAAAAAAAGAAAGACTATAACTTTAAATATTTAGAACATTTAATTGGCATGTGTGTTTAATGGATAAAATGCTTAAGAATGAGTCGGCCTTTTTATTTTCTTTTAATACTGCAAATGAAAGATTGCATTTTACTTTTACATTTGTCTTCATGTATATAAATAAAGTATCCATTATTGTGCTGTTAAATTTTTAAAATTTGAAAATATTTTTTCAAAGACATTTAGAAAGATTTTCACTAATTCTAATAGCTTCTTTAATTCGCACGATCCGTAGCTGCTGATATACCGTAAAACGTTGGTTTGTATATTTTTGCTTATATTGATACGAGATAGTAAGCTACACTTTTAGTCAAGAGTATTTAGGTGTAAAAACATCTTTTTAATTTAAATCTCAATAACGACGTGAAAAAATTGATTAAATTGTGAAATTGTATTGCTCGAAATTACAGATTACACTAGCAGGTATGGCAATGGTTCTTCAGCTCATCACACTCAAAATTATTGCGAAATATTTTTTGAAAGATCTTTCATATTCTGTCAGCGGTGTTTTATTTATTTCTTTAACAATTATTTATTTGTATATATATATTTAAGCTATAATCTTAAAACTAATTAATTGCCACGGATGTTGTTAATGCAGCAATAGTTGTTACCAATTCTATCATGAGTTAAGTAAAATTCAGTAAAAAATTATGTATGTATAAATAATAATAATAATGAAATATAGATCTTGTGGTTTACCATCAGATTTGTATTAAAATTCAATTGTTTACTTGCCTGCTGTAGCAATTAACAGCTGTGTTTAATTTCACCATGAAAGAAATGAAATAATTTTACCACGAATTACAAATGATAAAACTTTTTTAGAAAGAGTTTTGTGCCAAAATAGCTAAAACCGTACAAACGGTCTTACAATCGGTCTTACAAAGATCTTATGCAAGACTTTTAATGATCTTTGCCAGAATTGCCATGTAGGTGTACTCTACCAAATATGTTTGTAAGTTTTTTCTTATTTCGATATTACATATTATATCTAATGTACGCATCTTTTAAATGAGTTTGGTATTTTTATTAAATTCTCAATAGCAAAATAAGAAATTGATAGAATTGTTAATTGCGTTGCCCAAAAGTACAAAGAAAACTGCTAGTATACCGGTTTGTACTGTACATTAGATTATCGATACTATACTATAAGGCTTACGATATTGCAGCGTATTGTCTTTTAGCTATTCGTTAGTGGACAAATTAATTATACAGATAAAAATAAATATATTAATATTTATATATTGTTTAGTAAATAAAATAAGTAAATATTAGAGTCATGATGTTGGTATATTCTAAAATTTCTTATTTGTGTTATTTAAAAAATACAAATATTTTTCGTTTTTTGTTGGCAATACTTTATACAATAAAATCAACACAACACAAATCAAAATTTATGAAAACGAAAAATATTTACATTCTCTGACAGATGTGTTCAAAATTTGTAGAAAACTTAAAATTTAAGAAATGAAGTTGTTTGTTTAGTTGCTCAAAAATTTTAGAAGAAATAATCTTTTGCTCATAAATTTCAACAATTTAAGCAAACGAGTAGAATATATAATGATTGAAAAGCGATGCATTTCGAGTACGAATTGGTGCGAATTAAATAAAATAATTTCATTAAAAAATTTTTATTGAATAACGTGTTTTTGGTAAATATTTCAGCTAAGTACAAGTGAGGACAAGCCCAGTCCTCCATCCAGCCGACGCCGTTCCGGAAGTAATTCTGCTGTTGATGGAATGCCGAAAGGCCTAAAGTTATCGTTTTTGTGCTTAATAGTTTCTGTTATTTTATTGCTCATTTGTTTTGGTATGTAATTTTGATTTATATTTTTAATCGTGGGTTATGTTAATAATATCTATCTTAAAAGGTTTATATATTGATACAAGCAGTTCATTCTTAGTACGTCTGGCTTCTAAATTTGGTTATAGTAAAAATCAATATGCAGTCATTATAGATGCCGGATCAACCGGAAGCCGAGTTTTGGCATATAAATTCGATAAAAGCTTCATTGGTAAGCACTATTTTTTCCTTCCATTCATTTCCCGCTTCATTACAGAAAATTAACATTTTAGTATTTTAACTGTTTTTATTTAAATTATATTATTAAAAAAAATTTTTGTATCCAAGTGTCGAGCCAATAAATTTTTCATCTCTTTACAGATAACAAATTGGTGCTCTCCGATGAGCTTTTCAGAGAAAGGAAACCAGGTCTATCATCTTTTGCTGACAATCCAGCAAAGGTTAAATGGCTTTATTACAATGTTTTAAAATTATAATAAATAATTTTCTTTAATGATTTAGGGAGCGCATCTGATTAAATTACTACTTGATGAAGCAAAAGAGTTTGTACCAAAAGAAAAATGGTCCTCTACTCCACTAGTACTGAAAGCTACAGCTGGATTGCGTTTATTACCACAGAGCAAAGCAGAAAATTTGCTTAATGCGGTTCGTGATTTATTTGCTAAATCTGAATTTAGTGTAGATATGAATGCTGTCGAAATAATGGAAGGCATCGATGAGGGTATTTTTTCATGGTTTACCGTTAACTTTTTACTTGGGCGTTTGTCAAAAGCAAATCAAGCAGCTGCATTGGATTTGGGTGGTGGGAGTACACAAGTTACTTTCGCTCCAACAGATCCGGATCAGGTGCCTGTTTATGAGAAATATATGCATGAAGTAACTACGGTAAACAGAAAGGTTAGTGTATTTACACATAGTTATTTGGGTTTGGGTTTAATGGCAGCTAGACATGGTGTATTCACAAAAAGATACGCAAAAGATGCAACTGTTGTAGAGTCGATATGTGTTAATCCAATTATAAGTAATCGGACCTGGACATATGCAAATGTGGAGTACAAAATTAGGTAAAGTTTTTATTTTAATTATTTATCATAAGTGTGATAAATAATATGTGAGCTGTTCTATTTTATTTAGTGGTAAAGATAATGCTAAATCCACTCAAGAAAATCCAGTCGTTGACTTTGAGGCTTGTATAGATCTAATAAAAAGTCATGTGATGCCATTAGTGAAACCCAAACCTGTAACACTTAAACATCATGCAGTTGCAGCGTTCAGTTACTATTTTGATCGAGCAATAGAATCAGGTCTAATTGACCCATTTGCTGGTGGTGAAATAAGTGTTGATTCTTATCGTAAAAAAGCTCAAGATGTATGTGCCACACCGAATGATGAGCAACCATTTATGTGTTTCGATTTGTCATATATTTCTGTGCTACTCAGGGAAGGATTTGGCTTGTCTGATGCCAAAAAAATAAAGGTTAAATAAAATAAAAAAACCCATATATAGTCAAGCTCCTAATTAATTTTTTTTTTTGTTTTTTTACAGCTTTATAAAAAAATTGATGATCATGAAATTTCATGGGCACTGGGTTGTGCTTATAATGTTCTTACAAGTGATGAAAAATTCAATTCCTAAGCGATGCCTGCTATAAGTGATGGCTTGAAGAAAAATCAATTGGCGTATTTAAAATTTAATGTGTAAATGTATTTTAGAAAAATTTTAAATTTTAAGGTTATTTTACTTAAAAAATTTATAAACAAGCGTGCCTTAGCTAGCTAACTATGCAAAATATTAAATAAACACTTTAATTTACTGAATTTAAATTCACGGTCAAACGATTTATTAATATAAAATATTGTTTTTTTAGAAAACTTAAAAATTTAAAATTATACATATGTGTTAAACGAATTTAAAAATTTCTTATAAACACAATTCTTTTTTTAATATCATGTTTTATAAACATATTCATATGTTAACTATCTAAACTTGTTTACTTGTAAATAATAATGAAAATTAGTTATTAATTTTATTGTAAATTTTATATAAAATATAGCTATTGAGTTATGTTCACACTGCATTTACTTGATTTATGTTTACATTCCAAAAATGAGACTAAAAGACAAGAATTCACAGCGAATAAGTTAAGTTAGAAGCTTTTTATATATCAAAAAAGCCAACAAAACGGCTTTCATTTGTAGACATTGTTTAAAAAACTACTAAAAATTCTTTCATAAAAAAATGTTAAAAAAGCATTTATAATATTTGTTTAGAAAAAAAAACAAATATTTTTTACTGCTTCTATAACCATATCTTAGTTTTTGTGTAAAAAAATTAAAGTAAGGTTCGAGAGGCAGAATTTCTAACATTTTCAAAACACTTTCTATTATATAGTTTAATGCAATATTTTATCCTTATAAAGGTTTAAAATCTATAAATCTGTTTTCTTGACAAGTTGTCAATTTTTGAATTTATTTGTTGATATGTGGCTTTTGCTGTTCATTAAACATTTTGGTGAGTCAGCAGAAAGAATGTTTCTTCAAACTGCATTTTTAATAGAACTTCTCTGATCTAGATCGATTCACTCTGATCTAGATAGGGAATAAATCTCCCTACTCCCATGAATAGAACTCCCTTATTCTGAATTGCATGGCAGACAGCTGTATTGAGAACAACAAAAATTTCAAATTCGTTTTGTTGAACTTTGGCAACTCTGGCATTTTTTATTGGCGAAAAGTGCGAAAATGAGCAAAACAAAGAAAAGAATTACGTATTTTATGTTGATTTAAATCTAAAAATCGCATTATGTGTCTGCAACACAAAATATCAGAAATAATATAATGAATACTTTATAATTAAATAATACAAAACTTTTACTTTATTTATTTTATTGTTTAAATAGCTACATAATTTATTTTTTTCTTATATACAATAAAAGAGAGTAAAATATCTTATTTATTAATTGGAATTATTAATGTTTTAACTAAAATTTGTTCTTCTTCTTCTCCAAAAGTCATATTTATTTTTATAATTAGGATAGAAATGTCCTTCAATTAATAAACTATAATAATAGTTTATAATTGCAATGATGTTACAATAATAAAGAAGCAATGTTTTACCTGCGCATAATTAAAAAAAAATATATTAAACTTATTCAAGGAGTCTCGTTCATTCTAGAATTTGGGTTCCATTCATTATTCCATTTTTTTAAATAACAATAGTTAACGCTTTGATTTGTGAAAAAACCCGTATGGATAAAATAAAAATTTAAATACATTAAAATTGTATTAAATTATTAAATAATACTTTTATTATAATAATATTATTATAATTATAATTTTAATAAAAGATATTAAATAAAAATTTAAATTCATTATATTAATATTATTATAATAATAATTTTAATAAAATATATTAAATGAAAATTTAAATTTATTATAATAATAATTTTAATAAAATATATTAAATAAAAATTTAAATTTATTATAATAATTTTATTAAAATATATTCGAAAAACTGATCAACCCATGTGGATAAAATAAAAAAAAAAAAAATATATAAAATTTATAATAATTTTATTATAATAATTTCATTAAAATTAAAATCTGATTATTATAAGTTACTAACATATTAAATTAAATTCTTTTTTAACTTATCTTCCACACAATTTGCTTGGGAAAAAATTTTGTACAAAATTGGGAAAAAAACTCCCATTCCCATGTGATTCAGAAACGGGAAACTGGGAAATGGGAAAAAACTCTCATTCCCATGTGATTCAGAATAGGGGTGATTATGTTAGATATCCAAAATTCTTAGCGGATCACTGATAGAACACAGAGTTTGAACAAAATGAGTGGAATTTGTAACATTTGACATATTATCTGTGAATGCCCAAAACTGAGTAACAGCAGTAGACTTATCGATCTTGGGCGCAGATTCGTTGTACAAATCAAAATTGTCAGAAAAATTCGCACAATATACAACTTGAGTCGCGATGTATTGTATTTCTCACTTAATAAAAATATTTTGATAGTGTCGAGATTACTCTCATTATTTACTTCCCGAATTACTTTCATATTATTTATTCACGTACCGACATTATATTATATATTACGTTATGAAGATTATCATCATTAATCTTAACCTTAATCGGGATGAGATTTAGCTTCACCAACCATCTTCTTACATTCATATCAATCTATAAAGTGCCTTGTTGCTTACTTATGCATGTCCATCTTTCAAATATCTCTAACGACACAGACTATCCATCTTTATTTGGATCATCAAAATAAGTCAGTAATCTTTTGTTAGGATAGTAAATCAACCTCATTAACAAACCTAAATCAGAAAAACTATTTAAAAGCAGCTCCAATGGATATAGCGTAGAAAGCACAGCCACTAACCGACTTTATCATCGTACAAAGTGTGGCACTACAGCGTCATTTATTGGTGGTTAAATAAAAAAGATTGCTCGCGTAGAATAATGCCTATTGCCCAATAGTAGTACCATAGCCAATTTAGTCTATGTATTCACTCTGTGTTTATAAACGATTTAAATTTTGCGTGCAGATTTTCTATTTTCGTAAAAAATAGGTTCAATGGAAATACATACTGGAATGGTAAATGTGTTAGGTGAGTTTGCCACTTCAAAAAGAATGGTCCGTTAGTCAACTGGTATGTTTAAAAGCCAAAGTGGTCGTACAAGCTTTAAATATGATGCGCGTGAAGGACTACATCGATACCAGAGAAACCGTCTTAAAAAATAAGATATTCCTTTTGAAGTAGGATTTGTTGAAGCAGCCAAACTATATTCAATTTAGACCAGATTAGTGTTGATATCTGATTCTAATATATATTTGTTGTTTTATAATTATAATTATAAATTAATTAATATAAATATGAAATGCATTTAAAGATTTAATGAGAGGTTGTTTTAAGCAAAAGTAGAAATTATTCTGTTATTAATTGATAGTTGTAAAAACGACTCTTAAATTAATGGAACTTATCTGGACTGGATTTAAATTCTGGAAGAAATGTATATGTTTAATTTACAACTAAAAGCAACTTTGCACAAGTAGTATTAGTTTCTTAGCATTAAATATTTATTTGTTCTTAATTACATATGGTTGCTTTTTTCTACATCTTAATAAAACCAAAAATGAAGAACGTATTGTATATATATATACTGGTACTGATTTAAAGGCTAAAGATAATTAACAAAATTTAAAATTCAAAAACGGCTTTGCCGTCATCACCAAGTTTAACCAAGCCGGTGGCTAACAAACGTAATGCTCTAGGAAAGGCGTAGTGCTCAGCTTTTCTAATACGATTTGTTAGTATCTCCTCTGTATCATCTTTCAAAATAGGTACTCGCTTTTGTACTATAATGGCACCAGTATCGACACCCTTCAGAAAACAAAAATTAGTGGATTTATATTTACAAAAAATTCAATAAACTTACTTCATCCACAAAATGTACAGTACACCCAGATTCTTTGTCCTTCGCATCCAAAGCTTTCTGCTGTACATGTAGTCCGGGATGCTTTGGCAAGAGAGATGGATGTATGTTTATCAAACGTCCTTTCCAACGTTTCACAAATTGTGCACTTAAAATGCGCATAAATCCAGCTAAACAAATTATGTCAACTTTTGCATTTTCCAAATGTTTGCTCATCTCGGAATCGAAGTCTTCACGCGATTTAAATTCTTTGTGCGACAATACAATTGTCGGTATATTGAATTTTTCTGCTCTTTTTATGCCCAATACGTCAGAGTTGTTCGAAATTACTAAAACTATCTTAGAATGCAAGCCTTGTGATGTGTCCTGCGATGCATCTATTAAAGCCTGCAAATTAGTACCTGAGCCAGATATTAAGACAGCAACTCGTTTGCGTGGTTGGTTTATAACCTTCTGTACACGTTTCAAATTCTTTTCGAGATTTTCTATAGTAACTTGTGGCTCCAGGTCTTGTCTTTGAACAACTTTACCAATTTTGCAAGCACGTTCGCTAAATTGTATGCAATCCATAACTGCTTTTTCGTATCTTGGATGAATTACTATGACGGCGCCGATGCCGCAATTGAAAGTGCGCTGCATTTCAGCTGTCGCAAGATTTCCCATTGCGGACAACCAGCCAAATACTGGTGGAATGGTAAATAGGTCAGAATTTATATATACACCCACATCATCATTCAACACTCTTGGAATATTGTCAGTTAAACCACCTCCAGTTATATGTGCAATACCCTTAACAATACCAAGTTTAATGAGAGGGTAAAGTGCCGATACGTAGATTTTTGTCGGATACAGAAATTCTTCACCAAACGTTTTGTCACTGAACGGAGTTATGTCTTCATATGTTACATTCGCAACTTTCATAACTGCGTGCACTAAACTAAAACCGTTACTATGCAGCCCTGATGATGGCAAGCCGATAAGAGAATCACCTACTTCAATGTCGAATTCCCGAGGCAACATGTGGTCAAAATTTGTTATTCCAAGCGCAAATCCAGCAACATCGTAAACACCAGGTTTGTACAATAAAGGAACTTCAGATAATTTTATAGCTAAGAAAATGAAATGATCGTGTTAGATCTCTGTTGCCCTTGGTTTTAGTATTTTATTAGGTTCATTAAATTTACAACGAAACTTACCTATCAAAGCACTATCAGCTTGTGTAGTACCTTCGAGAACACCAGCCGCCAACGCATTGGTAGTTTGGGTGTTAAGTTCTCCGCAAGCATAATAAGTTGAAAATGTAAGTGGTTTAGCTCCATTGCATAATATATCATTTACACACATCGCTACCAAATCTATACCAACTGTATTATTTCGTCCTATTTGTTGAGCGATTTTTATTTTCGTTCCCACACCATCTGTTCCCATTACAAGTATTGGGTCCTTATATTCGGTCGGTACTGCTGTTAATATTTTTCCGTTTTGAGCAATAAAAGTATTCGTACGCCCTTCTGCTTGAGTAGTTAATTCCTTTTGAACATTAATATTCTGTGGGTCAGTAAGTTCGTTGTTTCCAAACTGCCCAAATTGTTTCGAGACATCTTCCAGGGTTTCAACAAAGTTTCGTACTTCAATTTGTTTTTGAAGCGCAGCACCTTTACGTTTAATGATTCCCAGAATCTTAGCACCAGTTAACATAGTTCTCCAGTTTGTGTTGGTTTTTGGTACAACCAAAACCATGCCAATACCACAATTTAGATTCTCCAGTAATGTTTCAGGAGTGAGTTTTAATTTAACAGCTAACCAACCATATACGTCAGGAATTTTGAGTGCACCAAAGTCCAAACAAGTTTCGAAATCGTCTGGAATAATGCGTTGCACATCTGGTAATAATCCAGTACTGATATGCGCAATTGCCTTCACGGCCTGACCCTTTAAAAAGTTTAACACTTCCATGACATAAAGTTTAGTTGGTTCACATAATGCCTGAGCTAATAAAATGATTGAATTTTTCGTTAAAAAGAAAATGACCTGTTTTATTAATATTTATACCTAATGTTCTATGTCGATTACCAAATTCTGACTTTATACCCAGGTTTACGTCTAAAGCATTTAAGCTACGTAGTATGGAACTAAAACCACTGCAATGTAAGCCACTTGATGGCAGAGATATAATCATATCACCTTCTTCATAGTCACTAAATTTGGGAAGCACTGACTCCTGTTCCACTATGCCTACACAGTAACCAGCAAGATCATACTTGCCAACTGCATAAACTGACGGCATCTCTGCAGTTTCACCACCTAACATATAAGAATCGTTAGGAATCATAGTATAATTCGAGCAAACTAGCAATTTCACCTAAAAATAATATCAATTATAGGAATACACTTGTGATGGTTTTAAGGAGTTGAGTTTTTGGATAATACGTCAGATAATAATTTTTCAAAAATCAAACTTTAAATTGAATAACCAGATATGCATTCCTTACTTGAAATCGTACACTTACCTAACAACGCACACTTCGCTTCTCTACATCCATCGACCATGCCTTTTATTATTTGAGCCGCAATCGGTACTTCCAACTTGCCACAAGCTATGTAATCCAGAAACGCAACCGGTTCTGCACCCGACTCAAGAACATCATTCGCACACATAGCTAACAAGTCATAGCCAATTCTTTCATACATTTGGTACTCTAAGGCAAGACCTATTTTAGAACCCACACCATTTGTAGCTTCAGATAAAAGTGGTTTTTTATAGTTTAGCTAAAATCGATTAACGATGGATTTGAAACAAAAATTTGAACAATTTGAACAATGCATCCTTAAATAGCAGCTTACCTGTCTTAAACGAAAAAGTCCACCGAAACCTCCTATTCCATCTAATACTCCACTTCGTGATGTACCACGTGCGAGTGGCTTGATTCGTTGAACCAAATCGTCGCCAGCATCAATATCGACACCACTGTCTTTATAAGAAAGCGATTTGGCTACTTTATCGTTTCCTCGTTGGCTATTTTGAGTAACACACAACAATACACAACAGTTACAGATAACAGTATTTCAAAAACAGATTTATTAAAAGTTATTCAGTGTCATAAATTTTTGAAAAAATTATTTGTTCAAAAACAGTTATATTAAACTCTTATGATACAGCAAATAATAATTACACTTTTAAGCCTTTAGCACCAATATCAGTCCGAAACTGGGCTCCAGCACCGGAAAAGGTAACACCGCGGCAAATTTTGGTTGCTTCATTAATTGCTTCTTCTAAGTTATCACGAACCGCAACAGCAATCAATACTCTACCACCATTGGTTAGATATTCGTTGTCATTATTAACTGCAACGCCACTATGGAAAATTATATCTTTATCAGAATTTTCGGGTAATCCTGAAAGTATGGTAACAGGAAAATGTGTATATAGTATAACATTTTCTTAACGATATTGTATATAAATAATACCATTTATAACGCATCCTTTAGTCGAAGATTCTGGATATCCGGCACTAGCCATAACAACGCCAACGGCGTAAGAGTTTTCCTGCCACTCTACTATCGTCTCGCTCAAGCGGTTCGTAGCGCAGTTATACATAATAGAATATAAGTCTGATTTAAGTAAGGGCAGTATAACTTCAGTCTCAGGGTCTCCAAAACGACAATTAAATTCTAAAACTTTTGGTCCATCCTTAGTTAGCATTAGACCAGCATAGAGAACACCGTTATAATCAATGCCATCTTTACGTAACCCATCAACGGTTTTTTGTAAAATGTTAGCTTTTATAAAGCTTATTTCTTGATCAGAAACCAAGGGGCAAGGACAGTAAGCGCCCATACCACCAGTGTTTGGACCTTTATCGCCTTCCTTAAGTCTTTTGTGATCTTGTGCTGGTAGCATCACATTAATAGAGTTTTTATCCACGAATGCTAACAAGGACACTTCTTCACCCTCAAGTAATTCTTCAACAACAATAGTATCACTAGCAGCACCGAATTTTGTTGACCCTAAAATGTTGTCCACAGCATTGCAAGCATCGGTAATGCTGTTTCCGACTATTACACCCTTACCAGCAGCTAAGCCGGAGGCTTTAACAACCCAAGCTTTATAAGATGATCTAAAAAAAAGAAAAAATATATGTAATAAATTTAAGTTAATATATACTAAATATAAACATACTCTTTTATATGAGTTTTGGCTAACTCAGCATTGGTAAACGTTTCAAACTGAGCTGTTGGTATATTATACTTCTGCATAAATTCTTTAGCCCACTTTTTATCAGATTCAATTTTCGCACCCATTTTAGGAGGACCAAAACAATTAATGCCATTTTCTTTTAAAGAATCTCCAAGACCCTCCGCAAGTGGGTCCTCAGGACCAACAACAACTAATTGAATATTATTTGAAACACACCATTGAGCAATGCTCTAAAAGAAAGTAAATAAAATTTGCAAAAGTTTACATAACAATTTAATTTATCTATATCTATATCTATATCTTAATTTTTAATTTAATTATTTAGATCACAAATTAGTGGCACGGTTTTTATCATAGAGTTACGTGTAGTTGATTGATATATAGAATTTTTTTTATTTTATTTTTTGATTCCATAAAAAATAATTCTTTAGGACAAATATAATAATTTATAGATGTCTTACATGTCCTTATTCATATATGTCCGCATATAATGCCTATATGCGTGGTTTAAATCAAAAATCTTGATGATGTTACAATATATGTTTATATAGATATCTTCAGCAATATATATAAGTGTAGATACATAACATGTTTTGGAATAGATTTCCAATATTATTGATAAATTATTCACTAAAAATCTTTTCTTAGCATTAAGTGATAATATTTTTTTTAGCCTATTAAGATAATGAATACCTATTTAGGTAAGGATGAGGTACATATTTGCAATAAGTCATTAATTTCACAAATTACTTATTGATTTTTTAATTGCTTGTTTGTTGTTGTATTTTTTGTTGTTTATTTAGATATTTATATTTATTCGTATTACAATATCATTTTTACTATAAGCTAAGAACTTATAACGATAACTAGTACAGTTATTGTTGTTGTTGTAACTTGCTAGAACCTACTCGTGAAGTCCTTATGAGAGCTGTCGAACGGTACTTGGTCGTCGGCTGGCGACGAGTGGCTGCGGGACTTAGACTTTTCCGTTCGTTAGGAGCCTTAACTAGTATAGTCGTCGGCCAGAGTTTGTATTTATTATATTTGCTCGGTTTGTTTTACAGATCGTACCGCGAACTTTGAGACGCAAGCTTACATTTGAAATATACATTATAAACTGTGGATTTGCTAGACATAATGAACATAAATATATATAACACGAACAAAAAAAGACACTTAACCCACTGAGTTAAATCCAAAATGTCTCCCAATCAGAGTTTACTAAAATCAGGCGATGATAGGAGTTTTCAACCAAGTATTCTCATTCTAGAGAAGTTCAAAGCCAAACTGTCACATTTGTTTTGAAGCAAAGGCGAGATTTTGTCTTGTTAGACAGATTCCTCTTGTTGAGGTAAAGATTATATTACTGAATAATGAAGTATGTATTTTAAGAAGTGTTATAAATAAACTAAATATGAAGTGTTATTGAATAAAATATAAACATAATTTTGAACACGCTAATTGTTCCAAGTTAAACACCGATATATAGCCAACAATATAGCCGATAAAAAAATTATAAGTAGAAATTGTGTATTATTTAACATTGACTAATTAACTCTTTTAAAAATATATAAACAAAATTTGGTCAAATTGAATTAAAAAATTATAAAATATAAATAAATATATTTAAGACTGCCGTTCACAGCCGTACTAAACCCTAATACTTGCTTAAAAACTTTGTCGACTTAATTCATACTTGTCAGTTTTGTGACTTAAGGTTCAGTTAGACGGTAAGTAACGCAAGAAATTAATTCAAAGCAAAATGCACAACCAACCAAACTTGTGTATTTGATAGGAACGAAATAAACAAAGTTCACCGTTTTTTGTTTATTTCGTTCCTATTAAATACGCACTTTGAATTCATTTCTTGCGTTTCCTACCGTCTAACTAACCCTTGAGCCTTTAAGTTGCGACTGTGAAATTGCCCCTTAATAAATAAAACATTACTTTATTTAAAATAATTTTTATACGATCTTGTGCTATTGTTGTATATTGTATATTTTGGATTATATTATTTATCATTCCAGAAACTTCATATTAAAGTGTACTGTGGTTTACGTTGAAGCTGTACAGTACATACAGTACTTAGCAGTACTGTACATTACAGTAGAGCAGTAGAGTAGATTCTTCTTGTTAGCTGCATACAGCTGAGAATATCTAATAATAATAAAATAATAAACAAAGATCAAATTACAATTCGATGATCACACGATTAATCATCGAAGCGTTCTTTACGATTGGGAAGTTCTAAAATAATATAAACTAGCCTTGCCTATGTTTATTTACTTCTTACGACATAAATAAGCTTACTATGCGGTTTTACTTACGATATTCTCATGTATGAAGTAAACATCGTTTTCACTTCGGGTACTTGTGAATAAGCTTAATTATGATTGACGGAGATTAGTTGCACTCTTTACGGCTTTTATATGTGATTTGTTTCACGAAAATCTTAACTTGTATGTGTAAACTAACCTCTTAAAATTGTTGACATCTTTAGTGTCAGGTTTACAGATGCTTACCTTAAAATCTTTAATATCAATTCCAGACACATTTTCACACTTATTTAATTCTGCAATACCGTAGCTGCCCGGAAGCGCGTAAATATTTGAAACACTTTTGCTTTGTACAAGCTTCCAGCAAATGGCATGCTCACGGCCGCCGCTGCCAATAACCAAAACCTTACCGGCAAGTTTTCCATCCTCCGACATTTTCACAAATTTTTGAAATTATTTTTCGCAATAAATTACTAAAACTTAAAATCCTTCAATGAATCCGGCAAAACACGTATTTAATAGTCCCAATGTTTTCTCAAATAACGCCAGAAGACGCTTACCAAACACACGTGCTACAACCACGGAGACTGTCGCGAGAATGGCGATTTCTGTTTTAGGAGAGATTTTAAATAAATTACGATCATACATTACTCGGATTGGTCAATGTTGTGCGTAGGTTCAGTGACAGCAAAGGGAACAACAAATTTATTATCGTCGCATAATTGCGCTACAGTCAGTTTTGCTATGATTTAACGCCAAACTTTAATTGAAAGTGTTATAAATTGTTATAAATTGCAAATTTTATTTATTTTTCATAAAATTATTTATTTTCAATTTTAATGAGTATGTTAATAATATACAATTCAAAATGAATTATATAAAATTTATCTGAAAAAAATGTAGTCCGACTAAAACAACAGACACACCAAGTAATTTTAACAGATATTTTTATACACTACTAGCTAAACCTATTAATTTTCTACACAATGATTTTCTCCTCAAGTTTAGTTCAGATTTCAACAACCCCCTACGACAAAATTATACAACCACATAATTCTTAAAAGTTGCTTTAATTATCTTAAAATCAGTTCTAACTCACTTTAAGCATACTAAAAGAAGTTTAATGTTAATTTTAGTAAGAAATATCGTTTCTAAAATTTCCATAAAAATATCTAATTGAAGATTTTTAATAACCGCAATTTAAGGCGAAAAATGTGGAATGCAACCCTTAAAAATAAATTTCCCACAAATGAAAAAGATTTGAAATATTTGTCATATGTTTTATATGTAAAATGTAAACAAACAAAAGTTGGTCTGTAAACAAACGTGACATTGTTTTTATAATTAATATGTAATATGTAATAGATATATAAAATACCTATAAATGATTTAAATTATTATATATTTTTATTTTTTTGTGTGATATAAGTGAAGCTTATTTAGTTCCACCTGAAGTGCTGAGTGCGACATTTTTGGCACTCAAATATTGCTTTGTTCACGCACAATAAATACAGTATTTTTTTAAATTGTCCACGTTTTGAAAGAATTATTTCACACAATACCGAAATTTTTTCTTGCAGTTGATACGTAAGCAAATGAATGATTTTAATAGTTTTTATGACATATAAAAGTTCTATTAGGTACAGAAATTAGATTATTATAATATGAACGTTTACCTTTAGAACTCATTAATATAAATAAGCGAGTACCTAAAAAAACAGTGTAAATGTACTATAAGAATGTTTGGATTGAACCTATTAAAGATTAAACATACCTTTAGCATTCTTCCATTCTGTCACATAATCGATCCATTAATACATAATTAATACATAATACATAAAGTGTTTAAAGCATTATATTTTGTCTCCAGTTACAGTACATTTTGTTATGGTGTATACATATGTGAATGCTTATTGTTTATCTTTGTAGATATAGTGCCAAATAGGTTTATGTAGTGAAACACTTAAATATAAAGTACATCTCTGCGTTTAACAAACAAAAGGTTAGTTTCATAAATTAAACATTTTTCATTTGAATATACAGTTTTCATTGTTCTTCCAGGCTAGTTTACTACGTCATAAAAATTTGCTAGAACAAAAGAAATATGTGAGTGCGAACAGTACTTAATTTTTAAGCTTAATTTGTATTATATATTGCAATTATTTTCGTTTCAATTGTTAAGTTTACGAAAGTTTTAAAATATATTTAAAACTGCTTTCAGAGTTACTTTTAAGAGCATTTATGCCCAAAAATTAAAACAGTTTTATGGTTGCTGTCAATTGACAGCTGACATTCAAAAATTGAAACAAATACAAAGGTGTTTAAGCAATGCTTAAAAGCGATGTCCTTACTTAAATTAATATCCAGTAATACCCAGTTTTTTCGAGTGAACATAAGTAAGATGTTCACTAAGAGAAGGGAGTAAAGGTACCAACAGGCACTAACTCTAATCAACCAAACAACGGGGGTAAATTAATACAAATATTCAGACGTTGCTAGGCAACTCGATATTCAATGAAGTCATACGATGACAAACTTCAGATTTTTAAATTTTTCACGGTAAAATGGTACTGTCAAGGCAGCTTTGTTTGTAAATGTAGAAAAAAAAATTTAAATTAAAATAAAACAAACTTCTGCTTTAATTTAAATATTTATTTTTATAAATATGTAGTTTTTAAAGAAAAACAATTAAGCACTTCATGTTTCAAATTACGTTTAATTTTTTTGTAACACTTCACGTTAAACTGAATGCTAACGCGGTACTAAGGCCTGATGCCATCGTAATTATTTAACTCAGTATCGTTGTAATTTCACAAAAATAAATGTGTATATAATTTTATCATTTTACCCAGTAACCGAGTAAGCTTGAACACCTGTTTTTTTATATTAGGTAAGACATCAACTGATTTTTATTACTGTGGAGTGTTACACAAAGTTAAAATTATAATTAAAATTTGAAGTACTTTAATAAAACATTAGGTTTGTTCCACGAGCTACTCGTAGTAAAACTCAAGTAAAACACAAGTAAAGTACTTAGAGAGTAACATAAATAAAATGCTAAATTACGCTCTTTACACAGATTTTTTAGAACAGCTTTGTGTAAAGTTTGGTGAGAACGCCAGTGCCGCCCAAATAAACAATACAAAAATTTGAATTCAAACCAAAATAGCTGATTCACACATCAACATAAATTTTACTTAAAATAATAGGGGTATTCAGGCAACTGATTAGTTGCTTAGTAGTTGATTACAACAAAAATTTGCACACAAAAATGAAACTAAGCAGAGAATCAACTATTTCGGTGATTCTCAGATTAGTACAAATTTGATTAATAGTGCTGCCAGTACCAAGTGTCGTAATAATAACTTAAAATGAACTTTAGTATAGAAATTTGTTAGCTGTCTCTCTCAGCTGTTTGAATTGTGTGTAAACAATTTTGCAAACACAAGTATGTTTCACTTTTGCTGTTGATGCGAGTGCTGCCAAGTTATTTACACACAACAAACTAATCAGATTACGCATTTTGGGTCGTTCAAGCAACTGATTAACATCAAAAGCTAAATTTTTATATGAAGTTTTTGAATCAACTAAGCAACTAATCAGTTGCATGAATACCCCTAATATATACGAATAAAATCAGTGTAGCATTTTCAAATTTCGACAGGGATGTTCTGCTCTTTCAGATGCTCTCATTTACTTAAAAATTTGCTGGTGGAAATGAAATAAATATTAAAATAAATATTAAATAAAAGAACAAGGTTTACTTTAAACTTTTTAATACTCCTACAATTCTCTTACTTTTGTATAAAATAAAATAAAAATAAACAAATTCAGTTTTATGACGTTTAAATTTTGTGATTTATAACATGTTTCCACTCCTTACTTAAGATTTTGCCGTTTCCATTGACATAAATTATTTATTGCATGAAAAAGAGCTTTTATGTCTCAAAAAATAAAATAGTGGTATTTGTATATAGGCTTTTTCGGGGGCTCGCAAGTATGGCAAAATCAGTTTATGCCAATGGAAACGACAAAATCTTAATTTGATTAATATATAAGTATTTTTAGCAAGATACCAGATATTAAATGTATAGATGCAGATATTAAAAATTAGATATTAGTATATAGAATAAACTTGTTTGTAAATCGAATGATCGCTTAGAATACCTATTTCTAAAATAGTGGAATTTGTATACCTATAGGCCTTTTCGGTGGCTCGCAAGTATGGCAAAAAATGCAAGCTGGCCTATTTCGGCTTCGCAAGTCATTAACATCATTGTAGCAATCTGTCAAGTGTTATGTTTTGACAAATAGCAAAAGTAGCAAAATAAATAATTAACATTGTGTTACTCTGGAGATGGCAATGCGACACTTAGAAGTTGTGCCTGGAGATTCCTTCAGGACCTCAACGTACAAATCAAGGAGATTCTCCTCGATTTGATCCCATTTTTCATGGGTTAAAGTGCCATCTGGGTCATTTTCATCAATGACCGCCAACATAAATGGAGCCCTTCAGCATGTGGCTAAAGGATTTGGTAGTGGTGGCGTTGCCTCGATATTTTGCCTTTTTGGCATCAGGCTTCGAAGCTGACTCATCTAATGAGCGCAGACGCTTCGATGCCGGTTCCTTTTTCTCTTCCTTAGGAGTATTAAGAACCTGCTTTGCCTAGGCTACTCTTGCCTTAAAAGATTATTATATCTCTCGAGCAGTCTAGTTGCCGCTCGCCGTTCTTTATAAATTCTCCTGGAAGGAGAAGGTCCCCTTGTGGAGGGGCCAGAACGTGTGGAGATTTATTTTTGTTTTAATTTTTGAGTCGTTACTTCGAAAATGTTTAAATGCGGTTATTTTTGTTTTTTAAAATATACTAACTTTTATTTCGAAAGTTTTTTTGTGTATCTCTACACGTGTTTCGGCAAATTCGCTTTTGCCTTCATCAGGAGAATTCCTAATATTAAAACATCTAGCAATCTTACAAACTATTTATGCCATAAACATGTTATTTTTAATACTAAACTTAATATTAATAAATCCTAAGGTTATTGTCCTTGGGGGTGACAGGTAGGAAATGGTGGCGGGTTTGGTCTGGTGTTGTTTTTATTTTTGCCTACAGGTAGTTAGGTTGACTGGTTGTCGGTTTTTTGGGATGTATCTAAAAAGGCACGATGACACGTTGCCTTTGTCGCCGTTGAGTAAAGTTGTGGTGTGGAGATTGTTTAATTATTAGAAGGTACCCCATTATTACCGCTAGAAGTAGCGGTAGGTACCTTGGAACTTGTGGTTCCGGAAGAGGTTGGTTTGACCGAGCTTGTTTTATTTGAATTATTATTTTTGATATTTTGGTTCATGTTTGAAACCCACGAGTTGCGAAGAAAGGAAAGTCGATCCGGGCAGAGATCCGCTATACCCGTTCAAGGCTATTTTACCACCGGAAGGCGCCAGTTATCCGGCGCCCACACTAAAGTAGTGCCGTTCATCTCATCGGCACGGATCGAATAACACTGGAGTTTACGGGTTTTATCGAGTTTTCCTCTCTAGATCCATAGTGTTCTGTTATGTCAATAGAGTTATTAACATTAAAACAGGTTCACCTTGGGAAGGCTGGGAT